TACCAGCATAAAGTGCGTTGCAGTAGTCCAGACGACTGGAAATAAAAGCATGCACAACCTGTTCTGACAAGTTAAAAGATAAGAATGGCTTCACTTTTGATAAAAGCCGAAGATGATAAAAACACGATTTTAAAACGCCATTAACTTGTTTGCAAATTTAAAATCACTGTCTATAGTGACCCCAAGGCTGGTGACGAATTGTATGTATAATATGATAATGACATAAAGTGAAACGGCACATGAGTTTTAAATATATTGATCCTGACTTATTCCGGCCTCAGACCTGCTGACAGCTCTGAACATTACACAGTTGGAATAAACAGAAGAAGACGAATCAGATAATCAACGTATATTGGCTTGGGGAACAGGGAATGTTGTTTAGCCCGGGAGTCATTTTACACATGGTGCAACACAGGCCCAAGAGCTGTAGCTGGACCACTGCCCCAGAACGGAGGGGATTTGCCAAACATCTGGATGTCTGGGCGCAGAAACTGGGGACAGCGACGCGATCGAAGAATTTGGTCCAGGGCCATACATTACAAACAGGTGCTGTGAACACTATTTATGTATAGAGCCACGGTAATTCTTCCATGGCCCACCTGCTTCTATTTGAGACAGTGAGGAGTCTATGTAATCAGATTAGACAAAATCTGTCTAAGTAATGCCACATTAAATGCAACGTTCAACCAGTACACTAAAATGACTTTCCTGGAGTTAAGACGGTTTTCTCCTATCTGCATTCTTAGTTGTTGCAAGATATTTAGGTTAATCTCTGAACATTCATGGAAGGAATGGATACTTTTCTCCATTTCTCCATGTGAATGTTAAGACAAATCCTATAGAAAATTGACAAAGTAGAAGATATTGTCAGAGAGAAGTCCAAATCTATTTTGATAATAATAATAATGCATCGGTTTTACATAACGCATTTTGGACACTCAAAGACTTTTCACATGCTATTATTCGTTTACTCCATCTACAGAGGTGATAAACTACTGCTCTTGCCACAGCTGCCCTGGGGCACACTAACAGAAGTGAGGCAACCTCTAAATGCCATCTACCCCTCCGACCACCATCAGCCATTCACACACATTTTCTTCCACTTCAACCATTACAGTCCGAGCAGAGACATCCACACTTCCAGATATCCACGCACACTTCCTCCAGCTCATCTGGGGGAATCCTGAGGCGTTCCCAGGCCAGCTCACATTGTCCCTCCAGTGTACTCCCGGGTCTAGGTTTACTCTAAAAATCACTTGTCAATGCGTTCTAATCCGGATTTTTGCCATACACTTATGCCAGCCATCTCCGTATATAAAGATCATTCAATTAGATAAAGAGATCATGATAAATGAATAATAACTCTATCAAATAAATCAAAATAAAATCTTTAAAGCATAGCATAAAAAAGCAGTATAAAATCTCTATCTTTAGCACAATGAGGAAAGAAGTCTTATAAATCTCCAACTTTAGCATGATATAGAAGCAAGACTTAAGCACAAAAAACCCTGACTTTAGCATAATAAAGAGCAAGTATAAAATGCTGTATGTTCTGGCATTTTATATTTGCAAGAACGAGCAAAAAATGTTAAAAAATAATAATAATCGGAGCCAAAAGCCCCACGAGTTTCTGTCTACAGTTACACTACGTTCTTTGACCTAAGTTTGGCTTTGTACTTTGAGGTCAGTCGTTTGATAAGAACTTTTTTTTTTTTTGCCGCCGTAGCTTTGTATGGCATCGTGTGAGTGACTAATGCCGGCTTGACACAGTGAACCCCTGGTGCTTGTGGCGCCGTCTCCGCTGCCAATTCTCACCACACTGGGCCCAAAGCTCCATCTCCAGCTCTCTGTTTTCTATGTAAGAAGATGGGTTATGTAATGTGTTGGCTTCCTTCACAAAATCCTACGCTCGTCCTCACATCCAAGTACAGTAGCTGTGGGTCTAAATATAAACAGGTACATTGTCTGGAGGCATTTATGAATACTGATTACGGAAAGATGTTTGAAATATCTGAACAAAGCCAGTGTGGTGTTGTAGTCATAAGTTTGGACGAGAGGTTTTAGATTTCATTGCAGTCATCAGTCAATTTAAATTCTGCCATCAGTGATAGATAGATAGATAGATGGATGGATACAGTGGATAGATAGATCGATTTTTTATTTTTTTTGGTTGTGTCATAAAATTCCATACAGGGTGCTAAATATAGCTCTGGTCAAAACAAGTCTGCTAAACTAAAGTGCTTTTAGTAGATCTGAAATCACAATATTGAGCTAAAGCATAGAAGATACAAGTCATGCTTACTTCCACCCTGAGTCTTGCCATGTCGCTCTGCCCTCTGCCCCCATAAACAACATCAGAGGAAGAACAGAGACATTGCAGGTCGACCAAAGAAATGCCTGGTCAACTGATTGGTCAGCCCACTAAAAAGGGGTCAATCAATCAATCCTTTATTATCTCACCAAATGGAGAAATTCAGTTCAATGAATAAACATCAAGGCCGGCCGCGTACTCTAATTTTCCGCGCTCCTTATGACAATTATTCAACAGCAGAGAGCAAAACAGACACATATTTCAATAAACATGGGAGAGACACAGTGCATGAAACATGCGGAACTTATTGACGCTATTTCCGGCGTTGAAATGTATGTGTGTCACCGACAAAGGCAGTTTCAAAAAGTGAGTAGCCTCCTGCTGGAAAATGGTGAAAAAACACTTTTGGAGCAGAGGCTGTATCATGTGCACATGAGTTAGTCGGCTCGAGTCTGACACCTGCTATTCATTTAAAGCGTTATTTCAAGAGTCAACAGCGGCTAAATTAGGCTGGTCCATAAAAAAAATTCCCCTCAGCATTGACACGCTGGAACGTAGCGTTGATCCAAGAGCCGACTTTTGGAGCCATAAAAAGGCGTTAAGAAATAATTGGATAATTCTGTTTCCGGGTACACCCCCACCGGCAAGGAGTCAGATTACAAGCATGTAAGCGCACATGCTCATTGAGCCGGGGCCCAAAACCACTTGTTATAACTGACCAAATATAGATTTCAGCTTCATGCAAAACAACTATAGCTCAAGAAAAACATTAATTCATTCATCTTTTGGCCTTTTATAGTCCATTTCTGGGTCGGGGGTGACAATCAGAGCTGCCACCCAATGCTCAAAGCACCAGTCCCTCACTGATCCTCTGCAGGTGGTGAGTCCACAGGAAGATGGCCGCTACATCAGTGGTGCCACAGTCTTGGTGTTTCAGCGGGAGAATCAGGCAATGTGGGGTTAAGTGTCATGCCCAAGGACACAACTTAGCAGACATCAGAGGGAGCAGTTGAGTAGGTCCCATGGTGGGCTCGAACCCAGGACCCTCCGTCCAATGCTCTACCAACTGAGCTACTGTCGCCCCAAGAAAAAACAATCTAACCATATTTGAACATTTGAAATCCAGAGTTCTTTTGGTCCTGATTTACTGTGTTAATGTGTATGGAAAATGGGACAGTCCGTAGGTGAAGGAAAAAAAATGTGACTGTACTAAAAGAACATAAATCACGCCCGCCAGGTCTCAGGGTATGGATTTGGTAGTTGCTTCATAGCATTTTATGAGTAGCTTTAAAAATGTCATGATATCAGAGAATATGGCTCATTCACTCACCGTGGTGCGAGCACAAATCCTGAAGGCATTAAATAACAACAGCATGAGGAATGTTAACAGCAGCCAGAAATCAAAGCATTAGGTGTGTCTGAAGAGAAGAGTGAAAATGGCATAGTATGGCATGGTTATAGTAATCAGACAGTGAGTAAAAATAAAATCCTTAAAAATTACTTACTTTCAATAATCTGGTAGAAAAATAAAAAATTTTGGGGGGAATTTTTTCCAGAATTCTTGGTTTGAATGGGAGCAGTCAAAATGACGGCTCTGGGAGTTCTAGCACTTTAATAATTCTGGAAGTCCGGGTGTTAAGAATGCATGTTTTCTCAGCCCTTTTACTAAAGATTGCTTCTACTGGTCTTGTTCCCTTATAGGGCCCTGCATATGTTCTTACACTAATTAGGAATTCAACAGCATCAAACGACTTGCATACTCCATTGATGATAAAAGTTACAAGCGAAAATTTTCTTAGAAGCAACTAGTGAGAAAATAGAGAGAATATGGATTTACAGTGCACCCCCCAGTGGTAGCAAAAGCACATCACTGCACCACCCTTATTGGTTACCAACGTCAGAATTCACAGAGGCATTCCAATTGTCCATCTGCATTGGAGTTAAGACAATGACATCTAGCAGAACTTATGAGACACTCAATTATAAAAAATAAACAAAAATGAACAAAAAGATGCATATTTGAATGCCTATAATTAGACATTGTTCATGTTTGTGAGATTCTGAAAATAGTAACACACAGTAACATCTCTATGGCAATAAGCATCCAAAAGATCCAACACAATTCATTGTATTTTGTATAGGTCTAACTCACAACAGCAGTCGTCTCAGAGGACTTTGCAAAATTGTGGATTCACCAAAAAACGATGTGAGATTCAAACAGTGAGAGCACAAGGAATGCAGTAAAAGTTGCAGAGTGTATTTTTGAGAGAAATGCTGGGTTTAACTAAAAGCAGGGGAAAATGATACATGCACAATACATAATTTTGCACAGCCCTACATCACAACAGCAATTGTCTCAAAGGACTTTACAAAGTTTTCGACTTCTCAACAACAGATCAGAGAATCAAACAACTCAAATACAGGAAATGCAAAAATGACAAACACAGCTATTGGTCCATAGATGTTGCAAATAGATAGCGTGAAAACCACTGACGGAACCAAACAGTTTTGAGAGCAAGAAACTTGTTAGAGGGATTATACTTTAGAGCTCATGTTGTGGTTTTAAAGTTAGGTACCCCAGCTTTAAACTTCAGTCTATTGTCATATAAATTAACTTCCACATGCACACGTAGGCCCAATCCTACTTGTGTAAAACGCACAGAGTTTAAACAAAAAATTACGAGATCACTCACACACTGCATCCAGAATCCCATTCCAGTGGCCCACACCCAATGGCCCACTTTAACGCACGCGTAAAACTTTGGCACGCCCGGGTCAGAGCAAAAAACAGAGCAAATACACAAGAAAACGGTGTGCCCATATACTTACGATAAAAGACGTACTCCGTGTAGCTGGACCAGACCTTGTCCTCAGTGAGCTGGTTCACGGACGACGCAGTCACAGACGAGTTGCAGGCCACCATTTGGAAACCACACTCGGACAGCATGTCGAAGGCCCGCTCCAGGTGCTTGAACTTGAGATAAAACCTGGACGTGTACCGGTCCGGGGTCCTATCCGGATCTCTGCTCTCATTCAAGGTCTCCCCAAAAACTTCCTTGGTCAGCGCCACTCTTCCACACACCAGTATCCGCGGAACTCGCCTGAACTTGGCGTCGCTTTGGCTCTCTCTACCCGACGTACACGACCCCCTGTAGCCCACCGTGACGAACCCGCTCTTGCGGTCAGCTGGCACCAGAGACGGGGGTGGGCAGTGGCGTGGGTCGCTGCCCTGGGAGTCCTCGTAGTCGCTGTGGAAGAAATCATCCGGACTTTGCTTCACGTCCTCCGGAGAGAGCAGCTTCACCAAGTCGGGCAGCTGGAAGTACTCTGCCTCTTTCCTCAGCCGCCCTTTCTCCGGGAAGTGATCAGGCAGCACCACTTGCCTGTCCCGTAGAAAATCCAACACGTAGCGAAACAAGAACCCATCTCTGTCTATGAAGTAGCGTCCCTTGGGATCCCTGGCCAAATCATTCGTTGCGTCTTTTTTACTGGAGAATAACTTGCCCAGTAATGAGTTTGGGGTCCCCACCAGCGTTGAGTGGCGAGTGTAGTAAACCTGCCCTCCGACGTTCAACTCGACCACATCTGGGAAACTATTCTGGGCTGGCTCTTTAGGGGGTGCCCTGCAGTTCACACTCGCCATTATCAATCTAACAGTAAGCCTGTCTTGTCAACGCAATGGCTATATCATTCAAAAGTTATACGCGCTTCCAACGGCATTATTTTGCGTAGTAAAACTTATCACAACCTACCAGTCCAGGTTTGAGCTCTATCCTGCACGCAATAGAGTGTATTCAGTGTGAAGGTTGCATCAGAGGTGCCAGGACTCCCATTGCCCCCAGGGAACACACAGCATCACACTGGTTCATACAGTCTATAGTGGAGTGGCTCTATAACGCTTGGAGTGACACAACTTGTTTTTTAGATGTTATCCAAATCAGAAATGTGGTGGTAGAGATGGGAAGTCCAGCCCTAACTTCCAAATGATGCTGTCCGGGTGGCTTACAGAGATGGGAAAAACTTAAAAGTCTCTGATTTCAAGGCAAAATGTGGTGGGAATAGAGTCCTGGTCGTGCGTAAAAATCCAAATAAGTCCGAATGGTTGAGTTTCATGGCAGAGCAGAGTGTCTGCGCTGCTGCTGCCCCTCGCTTCAACGGGAGCTGTCCGTGGTACTGAAGCGAGGATCTCTCCCTCTACTCCTCCTCCTCCTCCTCCTCTCTCTGCTCTCTCGCACTCGCATTGCCCCTCCCGCTTCTGACACACATACACATGCGCTCTCACTCACTCACTCACTCTTTTCTCTATTACACATACATGCACGCACACATAAAAATACAATTACTCACTCACTCACTCTCTCTCACACACACAGATAAACATACATGCACGTACACGTACACACACATACTCACACTTGCTCGCTAACTCTCTCTCTCTTATACATACACACAGACACACACACACGCTCACTTACTCAGTCACTCACTCACTCTCACTGTTTCGATCTCACACACATACACACATACTCACTCACACTCACTCTTTCTCTTTCACATGCACACACACACACACTCACTCATTCACTCATTCTTGCTCGCACACACACACACATGCTCCCTCAATCAATCTCTCTCTCTCTCTATCTCTATCTCTCACACACACACACACTCACACACTACTCTCACGCATCACATCACCCGTACAAAACGGGTCAAATGGAAGTAGATTGTACAGTGAATCGTCGTCAAGTTTGAGATTAAGAATTTTGTTGAATTGTGGAATCGGAAAGGTCACAGCAAGTCGAGGTGCAAATGCAATTCATGTGTGCAACACCCTCGGGTATCAGGGGAAATCATCTGTCTCCTTGCAAATGTAGTTGACACAGTGTAGCCTGCCACAGTGTACCTTTGCTTTTTATCTGAAGACTCTGTGCATTAGTCTAAACTTCGACCTATCATCACAAAAAGTACGCGCTCTCACATGAATGGTTGGATGATATTATTTCTTTACACAAAAAAAGATAGACTGATAGGTTTCTGATGTTTTTAATCGATAGGGTAAGCAAGCACAGCAGAAAGAAAAATAAAATAATTCTCATTCCAAAAAATGATGTATTATTCCCATATCAAGCAGAAATTGTTACATTAATTCACAGTTTAAAATGATATTCCTTCTTTTAGAGGGATCGCATTGCTTTTACATTGTTTAGACTATTTTGTTTCACCTACCCCCACATAAGTACAGTACTGTATTTGACATAGTCTGACCATGTGTCAATTTTTGTATCAATTGGTCACTTTATCAGTTCGAAATTCAGTGGGAATGTTAAAATTTTGTCTCACATATTTATACATTAAAAAGTATAGACAGATCTTTACAGTAAGCAACTTAATAGCCATATACTTAACTATTACACTATTACACAAGTATCTGATCTGATTTGGAAATATCTTCTGTATACTGTACATCAGCAAGGCTCAAAACAATAGTATTTTATGAATTCTGCTCCACTGTGACATTTGCAACACTGCCCCCTGCTGTTCACACGTTCCAACCCCCACACACCAGGTCTATGTATAAAATATGGGCCATGTGGGAGATTGTCTTTCATTTGTGGATTAAAGAAATGCAAAATATTACAGTCTTTCTTTTATATTCACAGCCTCGTCAGAGCCGCTGAAGGTTCTCTGATGGAAATACAAATGCAAATTATATTGCAATCAATGTAACTAGGGTTTTGTGCATAACTGTATTGTTGCAGATATACACACACACCACCTGCTTCCGTCACATCATGAAGATTCTTACTCTCCAGAAAAGTGCAATGAGCTCTGGTTTATTGCTTTGAAATAGCTGAATGTGGCACTTCCTTTATTACAATCTGTTCAACTCCTGCCTATGGCTTTACATGCCAAGAACGCACTGTCATACACCGGGCACCAAGTGGACTGTCAAGCCAATTATATATGTGAAAGTTAAATTAATTCAGTTTCAAATGTCCCTTTCTCTTTTCTTCTCTGGGGTTGGAGGCTCATGTGCATATAGATTGTACGTTTTCAATTGCAATAAGAAAAGAAGAATCCGTGTGATCCAACATTTATTGAGTTCAATCGTTTAAATTCCACTATGAACTTTCAGGATTGCATTTTCTTTTTATAGTCATGTTTAATTAGGTACAGTATGTTGTGCCACCCAAAAAAGTGTATTTCAATAACCGTATATTCTGTTTTCTTCACCAAATAAGAAGCGTCGTTATATATTACCTCACATGAGAAGGCCAAGTCACTCACTGTTCTGCTTGATTGGTTTTCTAACTAGGGGTGGTCGATTTTCCTTCAGTATCTTTGAAACATCTCTCCTGATGCTGTGCTCATTATCTCAGCGGTGCACCAATGGGTTTGTCAGAGATATTGACAAGTTATATTCTCTCTCATTTCTATCTGTAAATTAAGTTTATTGAGCCTGGATAAATTCTAGCTTCAGATAAGGCCATGGTGTGGTACTACTATTTTTACTTGTGGTAACTTGTATTGTTACATGAATATGTAAAGGGGGCGCCATTTTATTTTTCAGCCCAGTTTTCAGTTTATTAATGAATAAACTGAAAACTGAAACTGGAGTCAACATAATAAGTCCATAAACTTCTGAAAACAGCCACATAAAAAAGTTCCTTGTATTTTGTATAGTTCTTTCCATCTCTCTCTGCTGTTCACATAAACATAACTTATTTCCTGCACCAAAGGAGATACTCTACTACAATAAAAAAAAAAAATCAAATGCCACATTGCTAGTAGCGGCTTATAGTCCAGCAATTACAGTACTTAATTACTTAAATTTTTATTTCTGTTTCAGCCATTACTGAAGCTAAAAATATTCTTGAATATCTTTTTGCACTTGAGACACAAAATGCATGCGACACATTTGCATTTGAGACACAAAATGATCAAAAAGATTTGGTGATAAGACCCCATAGCTGAAATATTGAGTGACGTGTGCATTAGTAGTATTTAGTAGACATTATGAGAGTCCCGTGGGGCCTAAACCCGGTTGGCGGTCAAAATAAAAAGTCACATAAAACATAAAAAGTCACATAAAAAGTCCCTTGTATTGTGTGCAGTTCCTTTTATCTCTCTCTGCTGTTCACATAAACATAAATTCTTTCTTGCGCCCAAGGAGATTCTCTACCACAATAAAAAAAAAAAAAAAAAAAACATGCATTTGCAACTTGCACTTGCTGTTTTAGTCATTCAATATTCTTATATACTTTTACTCTTACAAGATTGAAGTGAGTATTCTTGTGCTTGTAATCAAAAATAAGCAGGTCAACAGTATGGCCAAATGAGATTATCGAGAACAGACAGATGTGTGGATCAATATTAGTGCGTCAGGACGAACAAGAAGATCACAGACATCGATTTCTGCTCGACGCTTTGGTAACAAGTATTTAAAACCACATTTGAGAAGTTGTCAGAATAGTAGTCATTATAACAAACTGTTGTAACGATTTTCTGTTTTCAAACGGTTGACTGCTTTATGAAATTAAGAAAAAGAAAGTTTCTACTGGGTACACATCCTGATGAAGTTTGAGGTACCAACAAGTGTGTCTGCAGTAATAAGCATCATTCATAGGACTCATTAATGTCTAAAAAATATAATATAAATGTTAGCAATGTAAGTAAAAATAAAAGGCTGTTGCTATTTACTGTAAAAACTCTTCACAAGCTAGATTTGAATGGGGCTAATGAAGGAAGCTGATATTTTATAGTTTGTTTTGTGTTTTTGAGTCATAGAAGGGGATGGGGTTTAACTTCTTCTAGTTGCATTGGTCGTGTGTATAATAAATCAGTTTGCTCCGATATTAGATATAAATACATGCAGTTCTCCTCTGGGTTATTTATACAGCTAGATTAGAAAAAAAGGGTTAAATGCTCTGACAAAGAAATTCACATCCACTTAGCATCCTCCAGCCCCATCGGAGTGTGCCAGGCATTTTATGAAACTAAGTGTTTGATCTATGGCTTTTATGAACGCTTCCTCCGCACTAGATCTGACACAAATGGGCTCCTTACAGTTCTCATACACTACATTTTCTTACAGTAATTATACAAATATAAGTAAGTAAGTAATCTTTATTTATATACCGCCTTTCACAGACCAGAGTCACAAAGCAGTTTACAATTGTTATATAGACTTATCCCCGTGGCCTCCTCTCAGTGGGACATAAAACAGAAAACCTCAGCTGGCTCCCCTCAACATGGAGGATCAGTGGCTCTACTCTGAGCTCCTACCGTGTGACTGATTTGTGTCTTGTTTTCTTTTTGGGAAGAATTTGTTTCAGCTTCCTCTTCACCTTAACCTTTTAACTGAAATGGGAACGCCGGTGTCTGGTGAGAAAAGTCCGACCAACCCCGGATTAAGCTGAAGAGAATGGATTTCATTGGAATATTCTGGAGCTAGTTTTAGCGTCTATCTATTATTAGATTACTTCCTTCGGTTTTACACTTTCTTACACAAGTACTTATGTTTTCTTACTATTTACAATATAATATTATAATATGCATCATAAACAGAAAAAAAAGTTATTTTCTCTCATTTTTATAGATGTTATGTTAGCATCATAGACATACAAACTAATACATTTA